GTCAGCACTGCAGGATTTGAGTCCCTGGCGGCGTAGTGTGTTACTGATGGTAGGCTTTGTTACTTTGGTCCCAGCTCTCTGCAGGTCATTCACTAGGTCCCCCCGTGTGGTTCTGGGATTTTTGCTCACCGTTCTTGTGATCATTTTGACCCCACGGGGTGAGATCTTGCGTGGAGCCCCAGATCGAGGGAGATTATCAGTGGTCTTGTATGTCTTCCATTTCCTAATAATTGCTCCCACAGTTGATTTCTTAAAACCAAGCTGCTTACCTATTGCAGATTCAGTCTTCCCAGCCTGGTGCAGGTCTACAATTTTGTTTCTGGTGTCCTTTGACAGCTCTTTGGTCTTGGCCATAGTGGAGTTTGGAGTGTGACTGTTTGAGGTTGTGGACAGGTGTCTTTTATACTGATAACAAGTTCAAACAGGTGCCATTAATACAGGTAACGAGTGGAGGACAGAGGAGCCTCTTAAAGAAGAAGTTACAGGTCTGTGAGAGACAGAAATCTTGCTTGTTTGTAGGTGACCAAATACTTATTTTCCACCATAATTTGCAAATAAATTCATAAAAAATCCTACAATGTGATTTTCTGGATTTTTTTTCTTCTCAATTTGTCTGTCATAGTTGACGTGTACCTATGATGAAAATTACAGGCCTCTCTCATCTTTTTAAGTGGGAGAACTTGCACAATTGGTGGCTGACTAAATACTTTTTTCCCCCACTGTATGTACAAAATGACAGGAACTCCAAGTGTAGACCTTTGCAGAATAATATCTACTAGGCCTACTTGATTTCAGATATTGCCTTTTAAATTGACCCCTGCATATTATCTGACATGCCTATGTATTAGGCCTATACATTTCCAAAGGAAATCAGTAAACCAGTATCTGGAAATAGAGGGAGAATTGTAATATAATTTCTCATACACTGGTGAGGTTGGCATCTGCAAATTATGACCTATTTGGATTCCACAAAATGTCCAACACGCAACAGAGTGAGTCAGGTGAGGACCTCTCAGCATGATGCTGCCACCACCATTGCTTCACCGTAGGTATGGTGCCAGGTTTCCTCCAGACGTGACGCTTGACATTCAGGCCAAAGAGTTCAATCTTGGTTTCATCAGACCAGAGAATCTTGTTTCTCATGTTCTGAGAGTCTTTAGGTGCCTTTTGGAAAACTCCAAGTGGGCTGTCATGTGCCTTTTACTGAGGAGTGCCTTCCGTCTGGCCACTCTACCATAATGGCCTGATTGGTGGAGTGCTGCAGAGATAGTTGTCCTTCTGGAAGGTTCTCCCATCTCCACAGAGGAACTCTAGAGCTCTGTCAGAGTGACCATCAGGTTTTTGGTCACCTCCCTGACCTAGGCCCTTCTCCCCCGATTTCTCAGTTCGGCCGGGCGGCCAGCTCTAGGAATAGTCTTGGTGATTCCAAACTTCTTCCATTTAAGATTGATGGAAGCCACCGTGTTCTTGGGGACCTTCAATTCTGCAGACAGTTTTTGGTACCCTTCCCCAGATCTGTGCCTCGACACAATCCTGTCTCTGAGCTCTACGGACAATTCCTTCGACCTCATGGCTTGGTTTTTGCTCTGACATGCACTGTCAACTGTGGGACCTTATATAGACAGGTGTGTGCCTTTCCAAATCATGTCCAATCAATTTAAAATTACCACTGGTGGACTCCAATCAAGTTGTAGAAACATCTCAAGGATGATCAATGGAAACAGGATGCACCCGAGCTCAATTTTGAGTCTCATAACAAAGGGTCTGAATACTTATGTAAATAAGGTATTAGTTTTTTTTTGCAAACATTTCTAAAAACCTATTCGCTTTGTCTTTATGGGGTATTGTGTGTAGATTGCTGAGGATGTAATTTTTTAAAATCCATTTTAGAATAAGGCTGTAACGGAACAAAATTTGGAAAAAGTCAAGGGGTCTGAATACTTTCCGAAGGCACTGTATGTGAAACTCTGGTTAGGTTCTGCAGGGGGTAAGAAATGAAGTGGTGGGGGCCCTGAGGTGGATTAGTAACCGTTTAAAGCCTGCCTTCCCTTCAATTACACCACAGAGCAAGGGAGAGAAAGTGTTAGATCAACATGACCAGAGTCCTGTCACCAGATGTGACGTGTTGATACAAGAGATTTAATGTGTCTCTGGAATGGCATGGCTTCAAGGAATACAGTTTTCATGGCTTCATGCCGCTAAACCCTGAAGAATGTCATGGTTGAGACTTTTACCTGCATTTGTAGACCAGGCTAAATCTAACAAAGAAAATCCACACAGTTTTGACAGCTGATAAGCTTGACTTTTAAGATTTTACAGGAGATGTAAAGGTGTGATGTACGAGTATGATCCAAGTTGCCAAGAGCAAAAACGACCACTTTTCCTTTTTAAAAGATGTCCTTAATTTCCTGGAAATGTCAAAAGAATTGAAGACATTAGTAATGTTTTATAGAGTTTGTTCATGTAGAGACAAAGTTTCCCCTAGCTAGTGCTGGGAATTACCAGGTACCTCATGATTCGATATTATCACGATACTTAGCTGCCGATACGATATGTATTGCGATTCTATGTATCACAATTATGTGTTGGGATTCGATACTGTGATTTAATTGTGGTTTGATCTTCCAAACACATTGCTCACTATATGTCTGCTGCAGAGGACAAGAGAAAGCCATGTGAGGTAAAAAGTACTCAAAACATGTTGGCTCACCATTAAAAACAATGAAAAAGATGGAGAACTAGCTATAGGATGATAAATACCAGATTTTTTGGGCAGGTACACCTGACTAGCTATAGCTAACATTACAAATCAATTCCTGGAGTCACAGTATCAATATATAAAATTGGCAAAGATAATATTGCGATAATCTACTGTATAGATTTTTTTTCCTTAGCCACAGCATACACTTACAGTTGAAGTCGGACGTTTACATACACCTTAGCCAAATACATTTAAACTCAGTTTTTCACAATTCCTGACATTTAATCTTAGTAAAAATTCCCTGTTTTAGGTCAGTTAGGATCACCACTTTATTTTAAGAATGTGAAATGTCAGAATAATAGTAGAGAGAATGATTTATTTCAGCTTTTATTTCTTTCATAACATTCCCAGTGGGTCAGAAGTTTACATACACTCATTAGTATTTGGTAGCATTGCCTTTAAATTGTTTAACTTGGGTCAAACGTTTCGGGTAGCCTTCCACAAGCTTCCCACAATAAGTTGGGTGAATTTTGGCCCATTCCTCCTGACAGAGCTGGAGTAACTGAGTCAGGTTTGTAGGCCTCCTTGCTCGCACACGCTTTTTCAGTTCTCCCCACAAATGTTCTATAGGATTGGGGTCAGTGCTTTGTGATGGCCACTCCAATACCTTGACCTTGTTGTCCATAAGCCATTTTGCCACAACTTTGGAAGTATGCTTGGGGTCATTGTCCATTTGGAAGACCCAGATGCCAAGCTTTAACTTCCTGACTGATGTCTTGAGATGTTTCTTCAATATATCCACATAATTTTCCTTCCTCATGATGCCATCTATTTTGTGAAGTGCACCAGTCCCTCCTGCATCAAAACACCCCCACAGCATGATGCTGCCACCCCTGTGTGTTCTTCGGCTTGCAAGGTACCCCCTTTTTCCTCCAAACATAACAATGGTCATTATGGCCAAACAGTTCTATTTTTGTTTAATCAGACCAGAGGACATTTCTCCAAAAAGTACGATCTTTGTCCCCATGTGCAGTTGCAAACCGTAGTCTGGCATTTTTATGGCGGTTTTGGAGCAGTGGCTTCTTCCTTGCTGAGCGGCCTTTCAGGTTATGTCGATATAGGACTCGTTTTACTGTGGATATAGATACTTTTGTACCTGTTTCCTCCAGCATCTTAACAAGGTCATTTTGCTGTTGTTCTGGGATTGATTTGCACTTTTCGCACCAAAGTACGTACGTCTATAGGAGACAGAACGCGTCTCCTTCCTGAGCGGTACGACGGCTGCGTGGTCCCATGGTGTTTATACTTGCGTACTATTGTTTGTACAGATGAACGTGGTACCTTCAGGCGTTTGGAAATTGCTCTGAAGAATGAACCAGACTTGTGGAGGTCTACAATCTTTTTTCTGAGGTCTTGGCTGATTTCTTTTGATTTTCCCATGACGTCAAGCAAAGAGGCACTGAGTTTGAAGGTAGGCCTTGAAATACATCCAGAGGTACACCTCCAATTGACTCAAATTATGTAAATTAGCCTGTCAGAAGCTTCTAAAGCCATCACATCTTTTTCTGGAATTTTCCAAGCTGTTTAAAGGCACAGTCAACTTAGTGTATGTAAACTTCTGAACCACTGGAATTGTGATACAGTGAATTATAAGTGAAGTAATCTGTCTGTAAACAATTGTTGGAAAAATTACTTGTGTCATGCACAAAGTAGATGTCCTAACCTACTTGCCAAAACTATAGTTTGTTGAAAAACGAGTTGAAAAACGAGTTTTAATGACTCCAACATAAGTGTATGTAAACTTCCGACTTCAACTGTAGGTGTGGATGAGTTTGTTTCTATCTAATGCAGTTTTGGACAATATTTCAGCATGCCAATTGCACACTCCCTCAAAACTTGAGACATCTGTGGCATTGTGTGACAAAACTGCATCTGTGTAATCAGCTTCTTGATATGCCACACCTGGCAGGAGGATGGATTATCTTGGCAAAGGAGAAATGCTTACTAACAAGGATGTAAACAAATTTGTGCACAAAATCTGAGAGAAATGAGCTTTTTGTGCTTATGGGAAATTTCTGGGATCTTTTATTTTAGCTCATGAAACATGGGACCAACACTTTACATATTTTTTGTTCCGTATATATTTGGTGTTGTTCATAGTCAATGGAAAACTTGAATATTCAGCAGTTAATGTTGATATAAAATTCAACTCTTCTATTTAAGATCAGGCTTGACAAAACTAGATACTCTACAAAAAGGGAAGTCAGATTTTTCTTGAACCGAAGATAATAAATGTTCAATGGACTTTGCCCTGGGGGTGAAGCACATAGACTTTCATGGGAGCCATTACTCTCAGTAAGTGCACACAAGCTCGGGCAAGATCACATGGCAGGTCTTGGGACATTGAACGTCGCAGGCCATTCGATCAGGGGTGGCAGTGCATTGGTTGCAGGACGATGAATGCTAAAGGCTTCCCCACATCTAAAGCACCATATGCATGCTGTTGATTTCAGTGTAAACAACTTACATGAAAACCAGCTACACGCTTGTCTATGTATGTTGAATGCCCATTTTCAACTTCCAACTAGACCTTTAAAAAAATGGCATACAAAAGTATTGGGTGAAAACAAATTGGAACCTCTTAGTAATGTCATGAATCTTTTCATCAGCAAATGGAATCTATTCATTCATAAATCAGGCACCTTCAGCGTGCATTGAAGACTTTATCTGATGCTAGTCAATTGATGCAGAATTCATGTTTTATTTAGTTCAGCTTGAATCTGGATGAATGTGGAAAGGTTGAAAATAAAGGTGCTGGAACACAACAATGACATGGACTACTTGGGAAATGTCACGCACGTGGCCAACATAGACTACTAGATCTGTGTGGGCTATATCCTTTTTAGGGGGGACTCATTGTTGTTCACCCATAATGCACTGTGACAGGCACCTTAAGTCGAGCCGCACAATTGTTCAAGGAGTTCCTTCAAGGTAACTGTCCTCAGTTCTCAGGAAAAATAGAAGGGGGGAGTCAGGAAAGACGTATACACAAAAGATATGTCAACAACCATTGTTCTTCACATCATGTGACGTACCATATATGGTATGCTGCTCTCAACTTTACTTTGACCTCTTTGTTAGCGTCTCAGCAAATCAAATCAGTTCATTGGATGCGTACACAGTTTAGCAGATGTTATAGTGGGTGCAGTGAAATGCTTATGTTACTAGCTCCTAACAATGCAGTAAAATGTCAAATAATCCACCAAAAAACAAACACATGAAATAAACAAATGTCGGAACGAACCCGAATAGCACTGTAACAGTAATCCAAATGCAATCTATACGTATATACACCGGATACATTTAAACAAGATATACTAAGAATGATATGTGCAGCATTAGATACTGTATATTAGAGTGAGAAATGATTAATTATGAATGCATTAATTGACCCACTGAAACATGCCCCTTAAAAAAAAATGATGTTCTCTCTCAGCTGATTTTAGAGCTTTGCTAAAGTTATTTTAATCTCTCCACAGCCTATAGACACTAAGATAGCTTGGCAATATTCCTAAGAGGATGTAATTCATCTTAAAATGTTGTGCTGCCTGCGCCCCATAAAAAGACAGGTAGCCGACCGGTAGCCTTCACGTGTCGTGTGTAGCTTTGTTGTTTATGTTGGTCAGTCAAAGTGGCAAAGGGGCTCAATATGTAGCAAGTGGAATACAATTATGGAATTAAAAGTTAGCAAAATGAGAAGGAGTAGGCAACAACGAGCAACCAACAGGTAGGCTATTGTTTTATTTGAATGGGGTTGGGGAGAAAGTGCAGCATTTAGCCTAGCTAGCTATAGCTTCTCTAGGCTACTCCAGTCAAGACGGGCACTGTTATATGGATGATAAATAACATTGTGGCTGCTACAAGTTAGCTAGTCTTTGCTGTAACCGAGATGCCTCTCTCTTTCTTTCTCTCTTCTCACCTGTCTGTAATATTCCGATCTCTGATATTGCTCGTTCTGATATTTCTTTATTTTTCTGGATTGTGTTTTTATTTTATTTTTATTGCTAGGTATTACTGCACTGTTGGAGCAAGAAACACAAGCATTTCGCTGCACCTACGATAACTCAGATCTGCAAATCTGTGTACACGACCAATAAAATTTAGTTTGAGCCTCTCTCCCTCGCACAGCAGCATTGCTCAGGTTAAAAACATACACATGTATTTAGAATATCCGGATATCTGACAAAAATTCATGATACTATTCGTATAGTGATAATTTCAAATTCCTATCACGACTGCCTAATCCCAACTCATTATATCCCATATACTGTCCGCTTCCTCTTCGATCTGAGTGTGACTTGCTTCCTCAGAGTCAAGAATTTAACTGCATGCATTTCACATACATTTTGTAATTATTTTCTTTATTGAGCCAAGTTTAGTTTGATAGTTCTCTCCCTCTGGGCTCTGAGAGGTAGGGCTGAAAAGGAAACATTGATGTGCCTCTAGACCATAAAGGCCAGCCATCACCAGCAGCAGCATGAACAAAGAGAATTAGCAGGCTGCCATACCACTGCATTATGCCCAATATTTGAACATTATATTCTACATCAAATGTTTTATACTTCACAAAGCTCCTTGTGGCTATTTTAAGAAATAACAACAGTGTTTTTTTGTCATCTGAAACTAATAAATCATAACTGTGCTTAATTAATTAATACATAGTTCCTTTGGCCTTAAGCCTGAGAGGTAAAATACTGTTTTATAGACATGAATCTAGTAAATCCTCCTCTTTGCTTAGTCATACAGAGTCAGGAATACTCCCACTTTTTCACTTGGCCTATCTCATAAATCAAATATTTTGCTTCCTGCTCAGTTTACAGATCAGGTATTCAGGTTTTTGCTTTTCTTCTCTTCCTCAGGATGGTTCGAGGCAGCGCAAAGAGAGGAAGAAGACGGTTTCGTTCAGCAGCATGCCCACTGAGAAGAAGATCAGCAGTGCGAGCGACTGCATCAACGCCATGGTGGATGGCTCTGAACTGAAGAAGGTGCGCTCCAACTCCCGCGTTTACCACCGCTACTTCCTCCTGGACGCCGACATGCAGTCTCTAAGGTGGGAACCCTCCAAAAAAGAGTCAGAGAAAGCCAAAATTGATGTCAAGGCCATCAAAGACGTGCGGACAGGGAAAAACACAGAAACTTTTAGGACCAACGGAATATATGATCAGATATCAGAGGACTGTGCCTTCTCAATCATCTATAGGGAGAACTATGAGTCTTTGGACTTGGTTGCAAACTCTGCCGATGTGGCCAACATATGGGTGACCGGGCTTAGATACCTGATATCCTATGGGAAACACACCCTGAATATGATTGAGAGCAACCAGAACAACATGCGCTCCTCCTGGCTCGGTGACCTTTTTGAGCAGGCTGATGCTAACAACAGCAAGCACATCAGTCTATGTGCTGCCGTGCAGCTAATTAAAAACCTAAACCCTGGACTCAAAAACGTTAAGATTGAACTCAAGTTCAAGGAGTTTCACAAATCTAAAGATAAGGTGGGATGTGATGTGACTAAGGAGGAGTTCATTGAAGTCTTTCATGACCTTTGCACAAGACCAGAAATTTATTTCCTCCTTGTCCAGTTCTCTAGCAACAAGGAATTTCTAGATACCAAGGATTTAACTATGTTTCTGGAGGCTGAGCAGGGTATGGCACAAGTAAGTGAAGACACCAGTCTGGAGGTCATTCAGAGCTATGAACCTTCCAAAGAGGGGCAGCTCAAGGGCTGGCTCTCCCTTGATGGGTTTACCAATTATCTAATGTCGCCAGAGTGCCACATCTTTGACCCTGAACAAAAAACAGTGTGTCAGGACATGAACCAGCCCTTGTCCCACTATTACATCAACGCTTCCCACAACACATACCTGATCGAGGATCAGTTTAGAGGCCCCTCTGACATTACAGGGTACATCCGTGCCCTCAAGATGGGCTGTCGTAGTGTAGAACTAGATGTCTGGGATGGACCAGATAATGAGCCTGTCATTTACACTGGCCACACAATGACCTCGCAGATAGTCTTCCGCAGTGTCTGTGACGTCATCAACAAATATGCCTTTGTTGCATCTGACTTTCCCCTGATATTGTGTCTGGAGAACCACTGCTCCTTAAAGCAGCAGAGGGTCATGTTTCAGCACTTGAAAAAGATTATTGGGGATAAGATTCACATTGATCCACCCTCACCTGAGGACAGCTACCTGCCCTCACCCTTTGACCTCAAGTGTAAGATCCTGCTGAAGGGGAAGAAGCTGGGCACGACCTGCACTAGCTCGGAGGGCGAAGTGACAGATGAGGATGAGGGGGCTGAGATGTCCCAAAGAATGAACATTGAAGCCGACGAACAACAGAGCATCCCACGGAAAAGGTTCCAGCTGTCCAAGGACCTCTCTGACCTGGTAACGTTGTGTAAATCGATTGAGTTCAAAGACTTCCCAACAGCTTTCCAAAGCCAGAGGCACTGGGAACTTTGCTCGTTCAACGAGGTCTTTGCCAGTCGCTGTGCCAGTGACTTCCCAGGCGACTTTGTTAACTACAACAAGAAATTATTAGCGAGAGTCTACCCCAGCCCAATGCGGATCGACTCCAGTAACATGAACCCTCAGGACTTCTGGAAGTGTGGTTGCCAGATCGTGGCAATGAACTACCAGACCCCCGGCCTGATGATGGACCTAAACATCGGCTGGTTCCGTCAGAATGGGAACTGTGGTTATGTGCTGCGACCAGCCATAATGAGGGAGCAGGTGTCATATTTCAGTGCCAACACTAAAGACTCAGTGCCTGGCGTGTCTCCTCAGCTCTTGCACATAAAAATCATAAGTGGACAAAACTTCCCCAAACCCAAAGGCTCAGGCTCCAAAGGAGATGTTGTTGACCCTTACGTCTATGTGGAGATCCATGGCATACCTGCTGATTGTGCAGAGCAAAGGACTAAAACTGTCAATCAGAATGGGGAGAACCCACTGTTTGACGAAAGCTTTGAGTTTCAGATAAACCTACCTGAGCTGGCCATGGTACGCTTCGTGGTGCTGGATGATGACTACATTGGCGACGAGTTCATCGGCCAGTACACAATCCCCTTCGAGTGTCTTCAGCCGGGATTCCGGCACATACCGTTACAATCGCTAACAGGGGAAGTCCTTCCCCACGCCTGGCTGTTTGTCCATGTGGCCATTACCAACCGAAGGGGCGGGGGCAAGCCTCACAAGAGGGGGCTGTCTGTGCGCAAGGGCAAGAGAAGTCGGGAGTACGCCACCATGAGGGTGCTGGTCATCAAGGCTGTGGACGACATCTTCAAAACAGCCATACTGCCACTGAGGGAAGCCACCGACCTCAGAGAAAACATGCAGGTAAGGGAGTGAACATTATATATAATAAGGGTTACATGGAGAATATCAGACCTCTCTGAAATGAAAATGGATGGCCCTCCCTTCAGCAAAATATATTTGACCTAATCCCTCCCTGAACGTTTGTAAAAAAAACAAAAAAACAAGTGACCATCCCCTATACCCAAAATAATCATTAAAACAAAGTGGATAGCGGAGAACATGTCTACCGTTTACTCTCACGCTAGGACAGACCATAGCATTACATGGCAACAAATTATTTTTTAAATAGCGCACAGGGCTGTGGGCCAGAAGGTTGTGGGTTCGCAGACCACCGTGGACAACAGTAGGGGTGGAAAGATCTCCTTTATAGTAAAAGCATTGCATGAATCTATCATCGTATTTGCAGGTCTGAGAAAAATTGCCTTTTATAAAAATATCATACAATTCTACATAATATTTTTTAATACCACACACATTACAGGCTAAGAATGGACAGCGCGATATCCTATGTGTTCAGCTTATCATATTTCTCTAATGCCAAATCAGTGTGTGGTTTGCAACGAAGCTGTCCCTGTTTGCAAATAATTAGGAATCTGAGAATGGTTCTTTTTAAAAGTTAGGCCTACCTTTCCACCCCAGACAGAGTAGGCCTACCGACGCATACAAATGCAAGCTTTAACTGCTGGCTACTCTTCATCCGTGGCTTAACCCAATGAGCGATGGTCAGAAGTGTTTCCCTAAAAGCTGTCTGGGTTTAAACATCTTCTATTGTACATAGTGAACAGCTTAATCAATTGATAGTGACATAATTAGATTACCCAAGCAAAGTCTATGTTTTGTCTCCTCGGCTATAGAAGGTTGTAGCTCAGCCACTTAATGTGCATCGGAGTCACTGCTTTCATGGGTATTTTACAGCTTGTTTCTAGCATAAAGCATTGCGGACCAAAGCACTGTTATAGATCACTTTATACAATCCATTTTAATTTCCTCAAAATCTTAAGCTAACAAGGGGTAGACCTGTGCTTTTTGCCATTTTCTTTAATAAAAGGTAGGCCTGTGGCATACCCTCTCATACCCCCTCAATATGAGTGTTGGTTTTAACTTAACAGCCCTTCACTGACACGGGGTAGGATATTTAAAGAATGCATGGTGGGTGGAGGAATTGACTGAGAAATCTATGGATATACAGTGGGGAGAACAAGAATTTGATACACTGCCGATTTTGCAGGTTTTCCTACTTACAAAGCATGTAGAGGTCTGTAATTTATACCATAGGTACACTTCAACTGTGAGAGACGGAATCTAAAACAAAAATCCAGAAAATCACATTGTATGATTTTTAAGTAATTAATTTGCATTTTATTGCATGACATAAGTATTTGATCACCTACCAACCAGTAAGAATTCCGGCTCTCACAGACCTGTTAGTGTTTCTTTAAGAAGCCCTCCTGTTCTCCACTCATTACCTGTATTAACTGCACCTATTTGAACTCGTTACCTGTATAAAAGACACCTGTCCACACACTCAATCAAACAGACTCCAACCTCTCCACAATGGCCAAGACCAGAGAGCTGTGTAAGGACATCAGGGATAAAATTGTAGAGCTGCACAAGGCTGGGATGGGCTACAGGACAATAGGCAAGCAGCTTGGTGAGAAGGCAATTATTAGAAAATGGAAGAAGTTCAAGATGATGGTCAATCACCCTCGGTCTGGGGCTCCATGCAAGATCTCACCTCGTGGGGCATCAATGATCATGAGGAAGGTGAGGGATCAGCCCAGAACTACACGGCAGGACCTGGTCAATGACCTGAAGAGAGCTGGGACCACAGTCTCAAAGAAAACCATTAGTAACACACTACGCCGTCATGGATTAAAATGCTGCAGCGCACGTAAGGTCCCCCTGCTCAAGCCAGCGCATGTCCAGGCCCGTCTGAAGTTTGCCAATGACCATCTGGATGATCCAGAGGAGGAATGTGGTCTGATGAGACAAAAATAGAGCTTTTTGGGTAAACTCCACTCGCCGTGTTTGGAGGAAGAAGAAGGATGAGTACAACCCCAAGAACACCATCCCAACCGTGAAGCATGGAGGTGGAAACATCATTCTTTGGGGATGCTTTTCTGCAAAGGGGACAGGACGACTGCACCGTATTGAGGGGAGGATGGATGGGGCCATGTATCGCGAGATCTTGGCCAACAACCTCCTTCTCTCAGTAAGAGCATTGAAGATGGGTCGTGGCTGGGTCTTCCAGCATGACAACGACCCGAAACACACAGCCAGGGCAACTAAGGAGTGGCTCCGTAAGAAGCATCTGAAGGTCCTGGAGTGGCCTAGCCAGTCTCCAGACCTGAACCCAATAGAAAATCTTTGGAGGGAGCTGAAAGTCTGTATTGCCCAGCGACAGCCCCGAAACCTGAAGGATCTGGAGAAGGTCTGTATGTGCAAACCTGGTCAAGACCTACAGGAAACGTATGCTCTCTGTAATTGCAAACAAAGGTTTCTGTACCAAATATTAAGTTCTGCTTTTCTGATGTATCAAATACTTATGTCATGCAATAAAATGCAAATTAATTACTTAAAAATCATACAATGTGATTTTCTGGATTTTTGTTTTAGATTCCGTCTCTCACAGTTGAAGTGTACCTATGATATAAATTACAGACCTCTACATGCTTTGTAAGTAGGAAAACCTGCAAAATCGTCAGTGTATCAAATACTTGTTCTCCCCACTGTAGCAGCCTTAAGCCTAATTGTGTCTGTCAAACAGGTATGCCTACCTCCTTATGTCTTAAATAGGAAGGAATAGGCTCCAACACAAAGCCCTCTTGTTAGTAGTATAATTGAAATGAAGACTGTTGAAATGAATTATGCCTACTCGAATTTGCATACTTTCAGCACCATGAGCTGTCAATTTCCGATTGATTGTGCCGGGGCTGCTGCTTCAAGTTTCACCACCACCATGTAAATTACTCGAATCTGGCTTACTGTTTATAATAAAATAAATTATAGTAGTAGCAAGCTATCAAAGTTGACCCTCGGTCCTCATCTTCGCGCTCTCCTTCTCAAACTGAACAGAACATAGGCTAGTCCGTGCGCAAGAGTGCATTTTTTGGACTAGGCCTAATCCAAAATACTTTTTGGAGGAAGCCTTTGACTCTCCTCCTGAACTGCCACCGTAGGCCTACACAGCACAGCCATTGGTTAGGCAGCACACAAAAAAGTTTTTGATCAGCAAGAGGAGAGCAGGCTGGGGCTCAGGGTTGGAATATCCCATTGCAGTGTGTAATGCAGCTTAGTTATATTGACACCATCCCAGCAGCTATCTTAGAAATACAACTTTACTCTGCTTCTCCGAGCCAGCACTTCGTAGCCTATAGGCTATGGATCATTTGATTGAGACCACACTAAATAGCCTATAGGCGCACTTGATATTGCACGCCCAGTGGAGAATCAGAGATGAGTAGTAGCTGCATCGATATATAGCCTAATAAGCAACAAATTAAAACATTCTAGAAATATAGAAATTTCATCAATTACAAATTACATGACCCTCCCCTGGACTAGATTTAAAAACTACTAAACCCTCCCATTGACTGAAATTGAAAAAGCATGACCCTCCCCCATTTCCCTCCAGGTAACCATTTTGTAAATTTCAATCCATCCCTAATTTGACTTGTAAAACATCAATTTATGCCAAGGTCCTATGGGCCAGGCTAGCCTACATTATGTAATATATCCAATGTGTTTTGGGGGGAATGTGCATGCTTTAAAAAAGTCGTGGATGAGTCGTTTGAATTACATTTACATTTTAGTCATTTAGCAGACGCTCTTATCCAGAGCGACTTACAGTTAGTGAGTGCATACATTTTTATTTTTTTATACTGGAATCGAACCCACAACCCTGGCATTACAAATGCCATGCTCTACCAACTGAGCTACATCCCTGCCGGCCATTCCCTCCCCTACCCTGGACGACGCTGGGCCAATTGTGCGCCGCCCCATGGGTCTCCCGGTCGCGGCCGGCTACGACAGAGCCTGGATTCGAACCAGGATCTCTAGTGGCACAGCTAGCACTGCAATGCAGTGCCTTAGACCACTGCGCCACTCGGGAGGACCAAGTTTATTTACTCATCCACCTACATGGGAATGTTTTTGTTATAAAATGACATGATATGAACACTAACCCCTAGAGTCAAGTGCGGATCACCTCGAGATTTACTACAAAGGCTGCCTTTTGGCAAGAGAAAACAACGCCACCAAGCTGGATTTAATCAGATTTGATCTAATCCCTGTGTATTGCACAACAGTTGAGAGACTCAAGGAGACTTCGAAGCTCAGAGGCAGTCTGGTGACATCCCCACTGGAGCACTGAGGCCTGGGGATGATATTCAGACATCCAGGTAGCGGCTTATGAGCATACCTCCTAATATGTAAAATGGAAAACGTGTTATGTAATACTGCACTGTGGTGCTTATGGGCTTGTCAGTAATAATTCTAGAAGGAGATTACTGTATGCTGTCTAAAGGACAGATTACCACAAATTATGTTGAAGTGGAGAGGAAACTAGACTAGTGCGTCACCAAGATGGAGTAGCAGTGCGGTCATGTACTATGTGTGTGTCCGTGTAAATAGCCTGTTTTTTGTATTTTTTTGTTGTTGTATTTTTCGTACATATTTCCTTATCACACTTTTCATCCTTCTACTAAATATACTTTCCTGCAACCCGCCTCACTCAATGTGGAACGGATTCTATTATTGACTTACCTTTTATCTAGAATCTCCAGTTGAAACTAGCTAGCCAGCTAACTAGCTACTTGCTATTAGCCACCGTTAGCGGTTTTCACCCAGAACATCGGATTTTCTGCCGGAATAACTGAATCACTGGACATTAACACCAGATCGCAACTAGCTAGCCGCAACCGAATGGATGTTGCTGTTGGCTAATCACCACTGCCCCCGACGCAAGCACCCACCAGTTAACCTTGAGCTAGCCTCGAGCCAGGCCCATATCCCGGCTATCTACCTCTCTGTCTACCAGACGGGAGTAGCCAGCTAACTAGCTACTTGCTATTAGCCACCATTAGCGGTTTTTCACCATTGTCCGTGGCCTGCACTACCTACCAGCCAGCTCTAGCCTGGACTATTATCGGCCAGTCTGCACTGTCTGCACAGCGCGTTATCGACCCAGAACATATCAGTTTTTCTGCCAGAATCACTGGACCTTTAATTCCGGATCATCGCAACTAGCTAGCTGCAACCAAATGGATGATGTTGTTGGCTAATCAGCCTTGAGCTAGCCTCGAGTCAGGCCCATCTCCCGGCTATCTACCTCTCTGTCAACCGGAAGGGACCTCCTAGAGTTGACACGGAGCCCCCCCGCCATCACGACTGGTCTGCCGACGTAATCGTCTGTGGTTTCAACAGGCTTCCCGTTGCGACGACCACGAAGAGCCATCTGCTAGCCCCGGCCCGCTAGCACACGCAAACAACAGCCGTGCTTCCTGCTAGCCAGTGCTGTAGCACCAATTCGAACTGCTCTCAGACTCACATATTGCTGTTCACTGGACCTTATGATCACTCAGCTGCACAGCTGATGCCTGCTGGACTGTTCCTTTACATGGTACCCTGTCATCTTTATCTGTTTAGCCTCAGCCCAAACTTTCATCGCCATTACCAGTTGTTGTCTTAGCTCTCTCGATTAACACCTGTGATTGCTTTATGCTCTCTCCCATGTCAATATGCCTTGCCTATTGCTGTTCCAGTTAGTTCTTATTATACAATTTCACTGTAAAGCCCCAAGTCCCTCTCAAACTGCCTCAAATAGCTCCTTTGTTCCACCCCCCCTACACGCGGAGACTGGCTCAATCGGTGCCTCCAGTGATGCTATCTCTTTCATTGTTACCCAACGCTTAGGTTTACCTCCACTGTACTCATATCCTTGTCTGTACATAATGCCCTGAATCTATTCTACAACGCCCGGAAATCTGCCCCCTTTACGCTCTGTACCCAACGCACTAGAAGACCAGTTCTTAAAGCCTTTAGCCGTATCCTTATTCTAGTCCTCCTCTGTTCCTCTGGTGATGTAGAGGTTAACCCAGGCCCCGCAGCCCCCAGAATCACTCCTACTCCCCAGGAGCTATCATTTGTTGACTTCTGCAACCGTAAAAGCATTGGTTTTTTTGCATGTTAACATCAGAAGCCTCCTCCCTAAGTATGAGTTATTCACTGCGTTAGCGCACTCCGCCAACCCTGATGTTCTATTAGTGTCTGAATCCTGGCTTAGGAAGGCCTCCAAAAATTCCGAAATGTCCATCCCCAACTACAACATTTTCCGTCTAGATAGAACTGCCAAAGGGGGTGGAGTTGCAATCTACTGTAGAGAGAGCCTGCAGAGCTCTATCATACTATCCAGGTCTGTGCCCAAACAGTTTGAGCTCCTACTTCTAAAAATCCACCTTTACAGAAATAAGTCTCTCACTGTTGCCGCTTGCTACAGACCCCCCTCAGCCCCCAGCTGTGCCCTGGACACCATATGTGAATTGATTGCCCCCCATCTATCCTCAGAGTTCGTACTGCTTGGTGACCCAAACTGGGATATGCTTAACACCCCGGCCATCCTACAATCCAAACTAGATGCCCTCAATCTCACACAAATGATTAAGGAACCTACCAGGTACAACCCTAAATCCGTAAACATGGGCACCCTTATAGATGTCATCCTGACTAATTTACCCTCTAAAACACCTCTGATGTCTTCAACCAGGATTTCAGCGATCACTGCCTTATTGCCTGCGTCCGTAACGGGTCCGCGGTCAAACGACCACCCCTCATCACTGTCAAACGCTCCCTAAAACACTTTAGCGAGCAGGCCTTTCTAGTTGACCTGGCCCAGGTGTCCTGGATGGATATCGATCTCATTCCGTCAGTAGAGGATGCCTGGTTGTTCTTTAAAAGTGCTTTCCTCTCAATCTTAAATAAGCATGCCCCATTCAAAAAAATTCAGAACTAAGAACAGATATAGCCCCTGGTTCTCCTCAGACTTGACTGCCCTTGACCAGCACAAAAACATCCTGTAGCGTACTGCATTAGCATCGAATAGCCCCTGCGATATGCAACTTTTCAGGGAAGTTAAGAACCAATTAGGAAAGCAAAGGCTAGCTTTTTCAAACAGAAATGTGCATCCTGTAGCACTAACTCCAAAAAGTAAACACTGTAAAGTCCATGGAGAATAAGAGCACCTCCTCCCAGCTGCCCACTGCACTGAGGCTAGGAAACACTATCACCACCGATAAATCTACAATCATCGAGAGATTTCAACAAGCATTTTGCTACGGCTGGCCATGCTTTCCAGCTGGCTACCACTACCCCGGTCACCAGCTCTGCACCCTCTGCTGCAACTTGCCCATGCCCCCCCCCCCGCTTCACCTTCACACAAATTCAGACAGCTGATGTTCTGAAAGAGCTGCAAAATCTGGACCCTACAAATCATCTGGGCAAGACAATCTGGACCCTTTCTTTCTAAAATTATCCGCCAAAATTGTCGCAACCCCTATTACTAGCCTGTTCAACCTCTCTTTCGTAACGTCTGAGATCCCCAGAGATTGTAAAGCTGCCGCGGTCATCCCCCTCTTCACTCTAGATCCAAACTGTTACAGACCTATATCCATCCTGCCCTTCGAACGTTTTTGAAAGCCAAGTTAACAAATAGATCACCGACCATTTCGAATCACACCGTACCTTCTCCGCTATGCAATCCGGTTTCCGAGCTGGTCATGGGAGCACCTCAGCGACACTCAAGGTCCTAAACGATATTATAACCACGATCGATAATAGACAGTACTGTGCAGCCGTCTTCATCGACCTGGCCAAGGCTTTCGACTCTGTCAACCACCGCATTCTTATTGGCAGACTAAATAGCCTTGGTTTCTCAAATGACTGCCTCGCCTGGTTCACCAACTACTTCTCAGATAGAGTTCAATGTGTCAAATCGGAGGGCCTGTTGTCTGGACCTATGGCAGTCTCTATGGGGGTGCCACAGGGTTCAATTCTTGAGCCGACTCTTTTACATTTACATTTGAGTTCTTTAGCTTTTCTCTGTGTATATCAATGATGTCGCTCTTGCTGCTGGTGATTCTCAGATCCACCTCTACGGAGACGACACCATTTTGTATACATCTGGCCCTTCATTGGACACTGTGTTAACAAACTTCCAAATGAGCTTCAATGCCATAAAACACTCCTTCCGTAGCCTCCAACTGTTCTTAAATACAAGTAAAACTACATGCATGCTCTTCAATCGAACGCTGCTGGCACCCGCCCACCCGACTAGAATCACTACTCTCGACGGGTCTGACCTAGAGTATGTGGACAACTACAAATACCTAGGTGTCTGGTTAGACTGTAAACTCTCCTTCCAGACTCACATTAAGCATCTCCTATCCAAAGCTAAATCCATAATCGGCTTCCTATTTCGCAACAAAGCCTCCTTCACTCATGCTGCCAAACATGCCCTCGTAAAACTGACTATCTTACCGATCCTTGACTTCGGCGATGTCATTTACACAATAGCCTCCAACACTCTACTCAGCAAATTGGATGTAGTCTATCACAGTGCCATCTGTTTTGTCACCAAAGCCCCATATACTACCCACCACTGTGACCTGTACGCTCTTGTTGGCTGGTCCTCACTACATATTTGTCGCCAAACCCACTGGCTCCAGGCCATCTATAAATCACTGCTAGGGAAATCCCCGCCTTATCTTAGCTCATTGGTCACCATAGCAACACCCACCCGTAGTATGCGCTCCAGCAGGTATATCTCACTGGTCATCCCCAAAGCCAACACCTCCTTTGGCCGCCATTCCTTCCAGTTCTCTGCTGCCAATGACTGGAATGAACTGCAAAAATCTCTGAAGCTGGAGACTCTTATCTCCCTCACTAACCTTAAGCATCAGTTGTCAGAGCACCTTACCGATCACTGCACCTCACAGCCCATCTGAAATTAGCCCACCCAACTACCTCATCCCCATATTGTTATTTATTTTGCTAATTTGCACCCCAGTATCTCTATTTGCACATCATCTCTTGCACATCTATCATTCCAGTGTTAATACTAATTGTAATTATTTTGCACTATGGCCTATTTTTTGCCTTACCTCCATAACTTGCTGCATTTGCACACACTATATATATTTTTTTATATTTTCTGTTGTATTTTTGACTTATGTTTTGTTTTACCCCATATGTAACTCTGTGTTGTTGTTTTTATCGCACTGCTTTGCTTTATCTTGGCCAGGTCGCAGTTGTAAATGAGAACTTGTTCTCAACTGGCTTACCTGGTTAAATAAAGGTTAAATAAAATATTGGTTGAAACAGGACATAACATTCCTGTGTGCTCACTAGGTTCCCACTAGGCCCCCCATGAGCTAGCCTACTTCAAACAGCTGATCTTTTCTGATCTTCGCTATCTTTTCCCACTGAAGCGATACTGAGAAATGTGTCAGAAGGAAGCTGCATACTCGATTGTTCCCCCACTCTGTGGTTGGTCTTTTGTGGTGCATTATGCATTGTGTATTAGGGTTTATTTTGGTCGCTCTGTTTACATTACAGTCATTATGTGATAACAGGCCACTGGCCCTGAGAATATAACACATCTTGGGCGTTCTCTCTGTGACTGTTTGGCCTTCCGGTTGTTTACACACTGTTTAAATTGGGCCTTTCACAGGAAGGTTAGGAATTGTGTGTGTGCGTGTGTGTGTGTGTGTGTGTGTGTGTGTGTGTGTTATCTATTGACTAACAAAAACCAACAAAGGTTCTTGGAGGTAACAAGTGCTCTTAACCACTTCCTATCACAGGGTGTTTCTCTGTACTTTTGCTTCTAGCCTGTTAATAAGTAACTACGTAGGCCACGTTAACTTAGGTAACTTAACAGAGCTGAATTGTAATTTTCTACGTTAGATAATTGAAAACATTAGGTATCATCTAATCACTGATCTTCATTCATAATGAATTAAATGAACCAGCTGAATGAGATAATTACTCAAGTGAACTTTGTCACGGCAGTGAGCTTCATTTTAAATGACTAAAACAGAACAAAACTGAAATGAAAACAAACGTGAACTCTGAACTGTAATAATTCACTTCTGTCATTCATGCCTTAGTACCCTTGAGGCTAAAACTGTTTTGCACCTTTGTCTGCAATAGGGGTGTGAAGGTTTTTTTTTTTTTTTTTTTTTCTTCTCCAATGTAGATCCAGAAAGTAGTTGGTCAATTTTCACAACAACTAAGAGTGTTGAAGCGCGAGGCACTTCCCCACTGTTTTGGTGCCATGGCTACCACGTGAAGCGAACCCGTGCATATGCGCAGATACTGTATGTGACTGTATGAGAGTGATGTGTTGCATCTCGCTCATCTCAATATCCTAGCCTATTCATTGATGATACAGTGCATTCAGAAAGTATTCAGACCCATTGACCTTTTCCACATTTTGTTACGTTACAGCCTTAATCTAAAATGGATTTAAGTAAATTATTTTCCTCCTCAAGCTACACACAATACCCCATAATGACAAAGCGAAAACAACAGGTTTTTAGAAATGTTTGCAAATGTATAACAAATAAAATAAAAAAACTTATTTACATGACTCGAAGTTGAGCTCAGGTGCATCCTGTTCCCATTGATCATCCTTGAGATGTTTCTACAACTTGATTGGAGTCCACCTGTGGTAAATTCAATTGATTGGACATGATTTGGAAAGGCACACACCTGTCTATATAAGGTCCCACAATTGACAGTGCATGTCAGAGCAAAAACCAAGCCATGAAGTCGAAGGAATTGTCCGTAAAGCTCCGAGACCAGATTGTGTCGAGGCACAGATCTGGGGAAGGGAACCAAAACATTTCTGCAGCATTGAAGGTCCCCAAGAACACAGTGGCCTCCAGCAATCGGCGGAGAAGGGCCTTGGTCAGGGAGGTGACCAAGAACCCAATGGTCACTGACAGAGCTCTAGAGTTCCTCTGTGGAGATGGGAGAAACTTCCAGAAGGTCAACCATCTCTGCAGCACTCCACCAATCAGGCCATTATGGTAGAGTGGCCGACGGAAGCCACTCCTCAGTAAAAGGCACATGACAGCCCGCTTGGAGTTTGCCTAAAGGACTCTCAGACCATGAGAAACAAGATTCTCTGGTCTGATGAATGAAACGAATATTGAACTCTTTGGCCTGAATACCAAGCGTCACGTCTGGAGGAAACCTGGCACCATCCCTACGGTGAAGCATGGTGGTGGCAACATCATGCTGTGGGGATGTTTTTCAGCGGCAGGGACTGGGAGACTAGTCAGGCTTGAGGGGAAGATTAATGGAGCAAAGTACAGAGAGATCATTGATGAAAACCTGCTCCAGAGCGCTTAGGACCTCAGACTGGGGCGAAGATTCACCTTCCAACAGGACAATGACCCTAAGCACACAGCCAAGATAATGCAGGAGTGGCTTCGGGACAAGTCTCTGAATATCCTTGAGTGGCCCGGTCTTGAACCCAATCGAACATCTCTGGAAAGACCTGAAAATAGCTGTGCAGCGACGCTCCCCATCCAACCTGCCAGAGCATGAGAGGATCTGCAGAGAAGAATGGGAGAAACTCCCCAAATCCAGGTGTGCCAAGCTTGTAGCGTCATACCCAAGAAGACTTGAGGCTGTAATTGCTGCCAAAGGTGCTTCAACAAAGTATTGAGTAAAGGGTCTTAATACTTATGTCTTTAATAGATTAGCAAAAATGTCTAAAAACCAGTTTTTGCTTTGTCGTTATGGGGTATTGTGTGTAGATTAAATATATAGATATATATATATATATATATATATATATATATATATATATTTTTAAATCAATTTTAGAATAAGGCTGTAATGTAACAAAATGTGGAAAAAGTAAAGGGGCCTGAATACTTTCTGAATGCACTGTAGGCCCTGCTTTACTGAAGTTGCGAGACATTGCAAGCCAAGAAATTGCAAGGTACAGCTTTTGATTGCAGATAGATAGCTTAGGCCTAGTGCACGGTTCTGGTCGACCTGCCTATACTGTGCCCCTCCCCGCTCTCTCCGTCCCTCGCTAACTCGATATGAAAGATGCAAGTGTTTATGTTTTTTAAAGTACAGCAACTAATCAGTCTCCTCCGTTCCAAAAACACTGAATATATTAGAATCTTGACACTCAAAAATGGGAGTCGACACCGGGAGTCGACGTGCAAGGAGTCTAGGAATCAATTATATTGAAGTCTACTCTCTGCCACTACGTAATTGTCGTTAACAGTTGAAAAAATGGCAGAGAAAGGCAAGCGACAGCAGGGAAGTCCTGTATGGCAATACTTTGACAAGTTAAATGACAAGGAAATGCAAACATTGCGAGGTGGAATTGAGGTACGGTAATGGTAGTACAGGTGCAATACTTAACCATCTGAAAGGGACGCACCGTGAGACCCAAGCCGTTGTTGGCAACAGTGCAGCTGCATTGTGAATTCAACATTTCAATCCCTAGTCTGCAATACAATATGCTGCATCTTGTCCATTATAGAAACCAACTCAAGCTTTCATCTTCCTCTTTGTCCAGTGTTCTCTTTGTCTTCAATACAACAACATGCTTCATTTTTAGTTCAGACAGCAACCCAAGCTTTCATGTTCCTTTGCAGAATGCCATAGTGCCCTTCAAGGAACTGTGTGGCCTCTCGGCAGTGGCCAACCTGAAGCAGTGCATCCTGGCCCTGTCCTCACGGCTGACTGGGGCTGACAACAACCCCCTCCTGGTGTTCAACCTCAAGGACCAGTACCCCACCATGGAGCCCCAGAGCCTGCTACCAGAGGTCCTGAAGAAGGTGGTCACCACCTATGACATGGTGAGTACAGGAGGACTTTTGTTTGAACAGTATCATGTTTATTTTATTTCCTTTGTTTTATAAGGTAAGTTGATAGAGAACATTCTTTTTTAGAAACAGGACTTGAAATCTGGGATCTTACTGCATATTTAATCTGAATAAAAGCCTTTCTCAGTAAGACCACTACTAATCTGCTGATTGTAAAAACAACTACAAAACACCTAGAAAATGAGTTTGATTCTAATCAAATCAAGAGGGTTTAGTGGGATTTTAATGGTAACGTGGGGGTAAGAGGGTTAGGGAGTAGGGCAGGGGTGAGTTGTTTTAATCAAGTAATTTAATCAATGTTGACAATGGACTGAAGTTATATAATGTGTCATTGAGGCTATTTCAATACAGACCTATAATGCCTAACACCTCACCGTAATCAATATACCTTAATAATACACATTTTACATTTACATTTTTAGTAATTTAGCAGACGCTCTTACCCAGAGCGACTTACAGTTAGTGAGTGCATACATTTTATTTTTTTCATACTGGCCCCCCATGGGAATCGAACCCATAACCCTGGCGTTGCAAGCGCCATGCTCTACCAACTGAGCTACACGGGGCCCCGATAACACGAGTGTTATAGAATGCCGTCCGTCCCCCATTTTGAATATTTCATTACTTATCTACTGTATTTGCTACAATACAGAGAGCAAGATAAAATAACTTGAAAGCTCTGCTAGATTATCCAACGTGGCCATGGAAAAACACTTTAGGCATATCTGATATATTTCATCCTCAAATCTGTAGCCTATGTGCTCTGAATATGTATTGAATACATTTTAAAATATTCATACTTTGATATTTCTATTTGACACCAGCTGTTTTCTGTGTCAGACATGTTTATTGGTGAAGCTTATTATCCACTTTAGAAACACAGGTCAAAGGCTACATACTGCATTAGTACAGTGTCTTGCAAAAGTATTCATCCCCTTTGGCATTTTTCCTATTTTAGTGAATAGTTGTGCACGCTCAAGTTTTCTGTTTTTTTGTCTTATTTCGTGTTTGTTTCACAATAAAAAATATTTTGCATTTTCAAAGTGGTAGGCATGTTGTGTAAATCAAATGATACAAATCCCCCAAAAATCCATGTTTTTATTCCAGGTTGTAAGGCAACAAAATAGGAAAAATGCCAAGGGGTGTGAATGCTTTCGCAAGCCACTGTACTCCATTAGCATAGCATTTAATGTAATTTACCTAATGTATTCATAATGTCTCATTCTCCTGACATTAGAACCCCCACACAGAGCATGAAGGTAATGTGCTAACTAACCTGCAAACAGATGAGTCATGCTTAATTTAACTCACAAGTGTCTCACTCATTGAGAGTCATGGACAGGGGTCAGACGACTACAGTTAGTGGAGTGCATACATTTTATTTTTTTCATATGGCCCCCCCATGGGGAATCGAACCCATAACACTGGCGTTGCAAGCGCCATGCTCTACCAACTGAGCTACACGGGGCCCCGATAACACGAGTGTTATAGAATGCCGTCCGTCCCCCATTTTGAATATTTCATTACTATCTACTGTATTTGCTACAAACAGAGAGCCAAGATAAATAACTTGAAAGCTCTGCTTAGATTATCCAACGTGGCCATGGAAAAAACACTTTAGGCATATCTGATATATTTCATCCTCAAATCTGTAGCTATGTGCTCTGAATATGTATTGAATACATTTTAAAATATTCATACTTTGATATTCTATTTGACAACCAGCTGTTTTCTGTGTCAGACATGTTTGCAGTGTGCTGTGCACAAAGCATAAAATCCTGGGGGCCAGTTTGAATATGTATGCACTCACAAAAAAAACTGTAAGTCGCTCTGGATAAGAGCGTCTGTTAAATGACGTAAAATGTAAAAAGGTGAATTGCGGCTCAGTGCTGCTGCTAAAAACTCTGGTTTTAAAATGGTGCAATTCGTACATATTTAGTAGTTGAGAAATAAATAAGTATGAATGGAAAGCCAGGAGCCACCTCTTTTTAACCAATGCCGTTTAAAACTGCTATTTTTCCCCACGATTGAATAACAATTGTTGTGCATTGACTGCTTGTCAAAACACAGGTTTACCCTCGCTATGGCACTCATAACTTGAATGCACCTCGAGAGGAATATTTATCTCAGAATACACAACAACAAGCCGACTAGGTAAATAGATATACACTGTTCTATTATGGGGTTGTCTGGTTGTTCTATTCATTACTTGTTTAGTTTGCAGAGGAAAAGTAAATGTGGACTGTTCTAGCATCTTCAAAATGCGGCCTCTGCAGAAATTCTTAATTGAATGTGCTGTTCTTCTTGTTGTAAATGTATTGTGTAGATTCTTTTTTATTTTTTAATTGAGGGAAGTACCAATGTGTCACAAAGTAGTAGTTTGTTTATGATAACTATTGCCATTTTGAAGCCCAGTAGCACCACTAAATACACAAATCACCATAGCTAGTATTTAGCGAGCAAAGCCAGTGTTGAGTTCAGCCGCTTACCTGTCAATCCACTATAAATACCTCCCCATGTTGCTGTGTCTGTCACCAAGGCTGTAATTTCTTCACCCATTAGTAAAGTAATCAGTGTGCCTGACAGCCTCCAGCCCTGTTACTGCAGCTGTGGACTGTCACAAACAGCCCCCTCCATCACATACCCCGCCCGCCTCCCTCAGCTTAGTCACGATGTGTTGCACTCATCACAGACTGTAGGAATGCTCTGGGTTGCCGTCATAAAACTGGGTTTGATGGCCATCTCAATAAATATATAGGCCATATTGTTAATTGTCAGTGCTTTTCAAATAATTTTGTAATTCACTCCAAATTTGGAGATAATGTATCACCTAAGAACATGTTCAAATTAATATACCCACTTGGGTGTAGGGGGCTGGAGTCACTGTTTTGTAACCTTCATCTCCATTTTCACTACCTGAAGTGGGGCGCCCAGCCCAGCAGTCCACCATGGACAGGCTGTCACACTCACAGTCACAGTGCTGCTGCCCTTTAGTTCCTGTCACATCACTCTCAATGCTCCTAAGTAGGTACTCTCTTCTCTCTCACTGGCTGGAAAACTGGCACAACAACAGGATCGATCTCGGGGGCACATTGTTGGGTCACCGGCCGACCGTCAGAGATTGACTTGGCAACTGGAGCTCTGCTAAAACAGCTGCCCACGCTCCCCAAGCCCCCGCCCTGTCTGCCTTGGCAATGGTACAAGACCGCCTGCCTTTATTATGTGACCTTGCAGTGCTCTTATGTCACTGAGGGAATGTACAAGTCAATTACGCCAGAGCAGCGAACATAATGCCCAGCACCCGTGGCACTAATTGAAACGGAAGGCTGCCGTAACTGTGTCATCTCGCCCCAGAATCGCATTAAGAAACCTATTCTAATTTTAGATGATGCATAATTTCCTTCAGATGATCATATTTATTGCACTCCGAGACAGTAATAAGGGAGAAAGATCCAGATGGTCGTATCCGCGTGTACGGCTCCTGGGTCGTGCAGTGGGTATTTACCAGGATCCATGACAGTAAACACACGCATCATTAACCTCCCGAAATACCCCCGATGTACCAGGGATGTATTTTGGGGTGTTTTATTTTGTCAGGCATTAGAAGTGCAAATGGGAATCTATCTGTGATCAGAGCCACCATGAGTATTTCAACACAGTCATGGAGGTCAGAAGTTTGTGCACTCAATTAAGGCAAGGAGCCACAGATAAGGCTGGGTTACGCCTCCGAACAAGGCCTCTCCTATTTACAACAGATTGCTGTAATAAACAATAATAACCTACTCTTGAAATCACATGTTTTCAGACCAACTCTGAAACAGGACTGGAGCGTCGTATTTTATAACTGTAACATGCAATTACTGTAATACCCTGGTTGTCTTGCAACTTTCAATAACATGCTCTGATACACTCCCTTCACTCTATTTTTACTGTGCCAAAGCACAACTCCCGCTGCTTGGCCCTCTATCTCTGTAATAAGAGGCTTCTTTTCCCCCGCACTGGATAGATACACCGCAAACAAAATTAAGATTGCTTACTACCGCAGAATGCCAGGCTGCTGTAAAGGGAATAAGAGGTTCAAATGGAACTGTCTGCTTTCTCCTCTCCTGACAGATGATCCAGACCAGCAAGACTCTGCTGGAGAACTCTGAGGGAGTCTACGACCGAATACTGCTAACCCAGAAAGCAGGTAAGAAAGAGAGAGAAAGAGATGAACAAAGAGCGATGTTTAGCATGAAAAGCCCATTTCTCTGCAAAGATCCACTGTCCCTCAGATATTCCCTTCTTCCTTTCATATACACTCATCCCCTCCTCTCTGAAGTATGCCATGGAGACCGGCCGCTAACAAAAAAGATGGACTGATTTATGCCGGGCCCTGTTACATAAGCGTTATTAACATTTGATTCATGCTCATTTCTGTGACCCGGCTGCTTTGAAACTCTGCTTTGATTCAGCCTGGTTTTTGATGATTCTCACGGCGTTGGCCTCGCTGCTCCTCTAATTAGGAGGGTTGCAGAGGAGGTGGTAAACACCCAGGTTCTGAACAGAACAACAAAGACTGGCAGACGACTGCGGTTTCTTTATGCCTGGGCTGAACCAGGAACCGCACCGCTACAAGGTGTGCAGAATGAGATCAAGCCCATCTAATAACAATTGAACGGGAATAATTTACCAGAATGGATGAAAATAGTGTTTTGTCTGAGCAATTGATTGGAAAATTATTGATCTCATTGTTACGAAAATTCTGCATTTGCACTTTGATATGAATATTGCAGCTTGTGTGCTCTTGCAATTCTATATATCTGTGATCTTAGCACTGTTTATCCCGTTCCTCTGGCGAGAGCCTCTGTGAGAATAGCCTTCTGGCCCTGCATAATGTGTTGACTTAACTTGGATAGGGGCAGTGTTAATCCATTCTGCTCTGGGGTGTGGGGGATCGGGAGGATCTTAGAGCCTTGATACGGTGATTGGCAGCTCATCAATGGAACACACTGGCAGCGATCCCCACTCCTCGCTCCCAGGTGGGGGAGTCTTGGCTTGAGAAGCTGTCAGAATGTTCACTCCCTCTTCCTTCCCCCATTATGAGGGGAACTCAACAAGGTGGATTTTTCCGGAAAGAGCTCTAGTGGTGCAAACTGCAAAACCATTTTTTTGGGCATAAAAACAGCATAACATTTACTACAGTACAAATAAAATCATTCAATGAGAGGATAATTTAGACTTCTGTGTCTTTAATCTAATGCAGCGCATTTCAGTAATGTTTCCCATCTAAGCATTGTAGATGTTTCATTTATCATGGAGTAACTTCCTTGGAGCGCCGAGTGAGGAAAAACAGGCCATCGTTCCAGGGGCTGGGGTTTATTGGTTTCCAGATGGATGACATATAAAATATTCATAGTCTATTGTCTTGTCTCATCAATGGGGCAGAGGAGTGTCTTTTAACTGAGTGTGCGTCGCAAGTCAATGGCTCTGTGCCGTCATTTCCTCTTCTTAGTATTCATCACAACACCTACAGGACCTGCCTTCAAGCTGCTACCCGAGACATTAGCCATTGGTGGTCTGAGAGTTAAAATGTGAACTACTTAAATGAATGGTGCTGAAGGAGACAACTAAAACATCTCTTACTCTAGGAAACAGGGAGATACGGAACTGTGCTCAGATAGTTCACTTTTGGTGCCCGCTAGATCTATAGTATTACAGTATATTGTGTCCATAGTCTGAAAGCATTCCTCTTCAAAGGTGATATGAAGCGATCCCACTTTCTCAATGTATGGTTATTTGCCTCTAATCTTTGAAATGTCATAAAGATTAACCTAAAAGTAACTAGGGATTGGGACACTTACTCCAGTACTCGATTTAAAGTTTGTATTTGTTTACTAATAGTCTAAAACAAGTACTCGAAATTCACAAATGCAACTATTTAGCAGGTTACATTTATAAGTACTGACAGAATTTCGAACTCTAAGGTGTGTGTATTCTTTGTGGAGTATGTCAAGTGCAGTGAAAATGTGTTAAGTTGTGTATCAGAACAACCAGTAATTGGAACAACCAGCATAGCGCAAACTTTTTTCCTTCAGCCCAGTTTCACGCTAACATGTGAGTACTCGGGCACTCAAAATTGTTTCCATGAGTACTCAAAAACAGAAATTATTTCAAAAGCCCATCCCTAAAATGTACAGTGAGGGGAAAAAAGTATTTGATCCCCTGCTGATTTTGTACGTTTGCCCACTGACAAAGACATGTTCAGTCTATAATTTTAATGGTAGGTTTATTTGAACAGTGAGAGACAGAATAACAACAACAAAAATCCAGAAAAACGCATGTCAAAAATTGTAGAAATTGATTTGCATTTTAATGAGGGAAATAAGTATTTCACCCCTCTGCAAAACATGACTTAGTACTTAGGGCAAAACCCTTGTTGACAATCACAGAGGTCAGACGTTTCTTGTAGTTGGCCACCAGGTTTGCACACATCTCAGGAGGGATTTTGTCCCACTCCTCTTTGCAGATCTTCTCCAAGTTATTAAGGTTTCGAGCCTGACGTTTGGCAACTCGAACCTTCAGCTCCCTCCACAGGTTTTCTATGGGATTAAGGTCTGGAGACTGGCTAGGCTACTCCAGGACCTTAATGTGCTTCTTCTTGAGCCACTCCTTTGTTGCCTTGACTGTGTGTTTTGGGTCATTGTCATGCTGGAATACCCATCCACGACCCATTTTCAATGCCCTGGCTGAGGGAAGGAGGTTCTCACCCAAGATTTGATGATACATGGCGCCGTCCATCGTCCCTTTGATGCGATGAAGTTGTCCTGGCCCCCAAAGCATAATGTTTCCACCTCCATGTTTGACAGTGGGGATGGTGTTCTTGGGGTCATAGGCAGCATTCCTCTCCTCCTCCAAACACGGCAAATTGAGTTGATGCCAAAGAGCTCCATTTTGGTCTCATCTGACCACAACACTTTCACCCAGTTCTCCTCTGAATCATTCAGATGTTCATTGGCAAACTTCAGACGGGCCTGTATATGTGCTTTCTTGAGCAGGGGGACCTTGCGGGCGCTGCAGGATTTCAGTCCTTCACGGCATAGTGTGTTACCAATTGTTTTCTTGGTGACAATGGTCCCAGCTGCCTTTAGATCATTGACAAGATGCTCCCGTGTAGTTCTGGGCTGATTCCTCACCGTTCTCATGATCATTGCAACTCCACGAGGTGAGATCTTGCATGGAGCCCCAGGCCGAGGGAGATTGACAGTTATTTTTTGTTTCTTCCATTTGCGAATAATCGCACCAACTGTTGTCACTTTCTCACCAAGCTGCTTGGCGATGGTCTTGTAGCCCATTCCAGCCTTGTGTAGGTCTACAGTCTTGTCCCTGACATCCTTGAAGAGCTCTTTGGTCTTGGCCATGGTGGAGAGTTTGGAATCTGATTGATTGCTTCTGTGGACAGGTGTCTTTTATACAGGTAACAAGCTGAGATTAGGAGCACTCCCTTTAAGAGTGTGCTCCTAATCTCAGCTCGTTACCTGTATAAAAGACACCTGGGAGCCAGAAATCTTTCTGATTGAGAGGGGGTCAAACACTTATTTCCCTCATTAAAATGCAAATCAATTTATAACATCTTTGACATGCGTTTTTCTGGATTTTTTTGTTGTTATTCTGTCTCTCACTGTTCAAATAAACCTACCATTAAAATTATAGACTGATAATTTCTTTGTCAGTGGGCAAATGTACAAAATCAGCAGGGGATCAAATACTTTTTTCCCTCACTGTACCTAACTAGGCCACTCAGTTAAGCCAAAACCATAGGCTACTGAAGCTAGGAAATACTTCATATGCATTTGTATTATTTTATTAGTTAAAATGGGCGCACATGACAACTAAACAGGTTAATCATGGGCTTCCACATTAGCCGCCCAAGGCTTCTGATCACTACCAGGCACCATATCAAATCTACTGGGCTGGATTCAACCACCGACATTTGCAAAATAGGACACAGCAGATGGTAAACTAAGCAACAAGAAATTAATGTTCTAATTTCATCAATACGTATTGTCAGCTGTGAGTGGAAAATGGGTCAATACAAACTGTATTCCCTCCGGACAGTGAGCAGAACATTCCAGTAACAGCTACTGGAGTTCTGAGTATTCCATCATAACCACTCAGAGAGAGCAAACCGTGTCAAAAGACCCTCTGGGTAACATTAAATAAAGATCAGTACTTACTGTCTGAAACGCACTGATCAAATGCAAAACATGACACTCACACAGGTACCAAATAACATCTGGGACAATTCAATAGCTGAACCCCAAGACACCTAGTCTGGACAGAGTACTGCTTATAACAGATCCCACCTAGGTTAACTTTTCCAAACTACCTAGAAAACAAGCTGCAAAGAAAATGTGGAACATAACATGAATGGAAAAACCCCATTACAGTAATGGGCTGTGGCCACTAAATACGGTAGATGATCTTCTACATGTTAAAATGCATCATCGATTCAGGAGGTATGTTGCTTTTGCGATTCAATCCATTATTAATAAAGCTAGTAAATAGGCAGATCATCTTTCATAAAATATATTTTTATGTACATGCATGGCACCGTTTGACTATACCAATGGGGATTTAGCCTAGGCTACATTACAGGTTGGGGAAACGGTTTCATTAATATTTCCTATGACTGGGCGCTCTGGTCCAAGTTCATTATACTGACAGTTATTGAGCTCCAGGCAGACGAGGGAGAAGATTACACCAGCTAAAGAAGCTAATCCCTGATGTATTGTCATTGGCCACGGCAAACCCCTTTCCTACCTGCCGCTCGGTTATGGACTGTCAAAGGTGACTGAGAACCTTTGGTGGCTCCATACAGTCTTTGTCAGCGAGCATAAGCTTGCAGAAAATTGAGTTTGAAAGGGCTTGCTCAGAATGACAGAATGCGTCCCCCGCCCCACACACCCCCAACTCTACACTGCGTTGCTAAGCAACCCCATGCTGAGAGGTGTGTGTGTGTGTGTGTGTCTCCCCAGCACACTCATGCTTCATGCGTACAAAAGCATTGATTGTAGTTACAGCAGCACAGCACCTGAGGGTGGGGGAAAATCATTCCGGAATCATTCAGATGTTTCACAGTGCACAACATCAAAAAGGCTGGGAGTAACAGATTATTAGCACTGTGTATGGTCCAATTCAAAAAAATGTCTATACCCTACACATTCTCTGTTAGAGAATACAATACTAGCCTCAACCAGAGCCTAATTTGTGAACATTTCGTTTGCCATTTTCTCCATCTCGACTCTTCATCTAGGTCAGATATGTGCTTACTACTGGAGTGCCAATATCACAGTCCTCCTCAGAATCATCAACATCCATCCAACCCACACCCACTCCACGGTATATCTCACATGTACGGTATTTGGTGTTGCCATGGAAACAACACCAACAGGGCTGGGAACCGACCCAGAGCTGATAGAGCGCCACGATAGATCTGAGCATACTCAATCCGACCGTTTCAGCATGTGTGTGTCTGGTAAAGCTATTAGTAGTATACCAAGCTCCCGTTACCAAGCACCTTAACGGCCAGACCGTCTCAGCTGTTGCTCTGATGTTGTGGACTCCACTGCAACCTGACTCAAATTAAACACAGGGCAATGTTCGTCTGTGTATCCTAACGGAGAGCAGCACTCCGAGAGAGGAAGGAAGGAGGCATGGAGACAAGTGCCTCCTCTGCTCAGCGTCTTGATGCTGATCCACAGTGAGGCGATGTCATGTATGTCTGCCCAGCCCATGCTAGTCTTGCTCTGTCTTTCTCTCACGCTCTCAAGAGAAGACGTCTCTCACTCCATTTTTACCTCACCAGCTTTGCTTCCTTCCTCATGTTGTCTGCTCGGCAGCTGTTTTCAGGCTGGTGTCATTTCCATTTTCAATTCTGCTTTGTAGTGCCATACTCAAGGACAAAAGTGATATAGACAGTGGTGGAAAAACTACCCAATTGTCATACTTGAGTAAAAGTAAAGATACCTTGATAGAAAATGACTCAAGTAAAAGTGACCCGGTAAGATACTACTTGAGTAAAAGTCAAAAAATATTTGGTTTTAAATATACTTACAGTGGGGAGAACAAGTATTTGATACACTGCCGATGTTGCAGCTTTTCCTACTTACAAAGCATGTAGAGGTCTGTAATTTTTATCATAGGTACGCTTCAACTGTGAGAGACGGAATCTAAAACAAAAATCCAGAAAATCACATTGTATGATTTTTAAGTAATTAATTTGCATTATTGAAGTGTACCTATGATAAAAATTACAGACCTCCTACATGCTTTGTAAGCAGGAAAACCTGCAAAATCGGCAGTGTATCAAATACTTGTTCTCCCCACTGTAAGTATCAAAAGTAAAAGTATAAATAAATTCAAATTGCTTATATTAAGCAAACCAAATGACACAATGTTCTTTTTTTTCTCTTTAAAAAAAATCTACAGATAGCCAGGGGCACACTCCAACATGCAGACATCATTTACAAATGAAGCATTCGTGTTTAGTGAGTCCGCCAGATCAGAGGCAGTAGGGATGACCAGGGATGTTCTCTTGATAAGTGTGTGAATTGGACCATTTTCCTGTCCTGCTAAGCATTCACAATGTAACGAGTACTTTTGAGTGTCAGGGAAAATGTATGGAGTAAAAAGTACATTATTTTCTTTAGGAATGTAGTAAAGTAAAAGTTGTTAAATATAAATAGTAAAGTACAGATACCCCAAAGAACTACTTAAGTAGTATTTTTTTACTTAAGTACTTTACACCCCTGGATATAGACAATGAAAACAAGACCTACACCAGGTAGTTCAAGTACTTTTTTTTTTTACATTTTTAGTCATTTAGCAGACGCTCTTATCCAGAGCGACTTACAGGAGCAATTAGGGTTAAGTGCCTTGCTTAAGGGCACATCGACAGATTTTTCACCTAGTTGGCTCGGGGATTAGAACCAGCGACCTTTCAGTTACTGGCACAACGCTCTTACCCACTAAGCTACCTGCCGCCCCGGCAGGTACAGCGAGACAAACATAGAAACTGACAGAGACAGGAGATGATTGAATCTGAAATGAATGTGATCACTTAACGTAGGATCATCTAAAGTGTGTTTTAAAAAAAAAAATCATTTTCTCACACGTCAAGAATGAAACCAAATGTGTGGAGGCCTTGGCTTAAGGCTTTTCCCATAGTGTTGACACTTACCTAACCCCAATTGGCATTTCCTGCAAACCTAGCATATAAATGCATTGAGCATTGTACGTCAATGCTAGCCTCTGTGACAATGTGTGTGAATACAGATCGTAAAACTTGTGTCCCCTGACCCCTCTCTCCCCAGCGATGGAGTTCCATGAGAACCTCCATGACATGGCAGTGAAGGAGGGCCTGAAGGGCAGGAAGCTGTCCAAGGCAGTGGAGAGCTTCACCTGGAACATAACCATCCTCAAGGTAAGGATGATGACCACTTAGTTTGAGTAATTTGTTTTTGCATTCTTTTTTTCTTCTGACAGTTTTTTGTAGCTTTTTTAAGTTTTGTGAAATCAATCTTTTAGCTACCAGTAAACCGTTTAAAACCTCTTCGATGTCAGGTCCCCTGTTTAGGGTTTTCTGGTGCTGGTTCCGGTCCCGGACTAAATTATCACTTATAAATCGATATGACTTGCATTGAGCGGTAGCCCTGATTTTCACGGACACAGTTGTATGTCTCTTCTGCCTGTATGAAGTAGGATGTGAAATCTGACACCACTTGAAGCTGGGATGTCCCTCCTACCATTTCATTCGCTCTTCCGACTGTCCATCAACTCCTGTCTGAAGTCTACGTCACAGCCACTAACAACTCATATGCCTGGAATCCTTACACTGTAACGCAGCAGGAAAGAGTGATTATGTCGCTATAGAGATCGATTTATAGCCAGTAATCTAAAATAATTAATAGATTTTAAACAAAAAAACACTTTCTGTTTGTCATAGATGGACAATATTAATATGAGATTAAAGGCGAGCTCCTAACGAGTTCAGGAAGCCAATCTCGAACTCTGAGACGTTCACAGCGATGGGGGCAGACGTTTTGATCAAGAGAGACCTTTGCACACTAAATATACAATTATGTATTTCACAGTTATAAGGAAGGTGAAATCTTATAGTTGGTTGTTTTATAAATTGATTATAATATATTTAGAAGAAAAAAAATCATACAGTTTTGTTGAATAGGAAATATTGACTACACCTCAGCAATCTATAACTATTTTTACCAGAAAGGTGAGTTTAACCTTTCTTAGAGTATGCAGCATTACTAATTATTGTTTTATGGTCCTCTCATTTTTTTTTTACTTTTGGGGATTACGTAATTACATTTTTGATTACATTTAGTTGCATTTAAGAGGTTTAACTTATTGTTTGTTTTATTGAGGACAGGCATAGGCAGTGAATTTAAATTCAAGAAACAACTTCAGAGCAAATACTTTAGAGATTCAGATTCCACAGTGCAGTCAAGCTTCACTAAATGAGGAAAACATAATTTTTTTTGAGAGAGAGAGTTTGTTTACAGAAGGGACATAAGGTTTAAATTGACATTTGTTTTCCAGCTGCAGCGCGGTGGAATAACAGCTTATGTCTGAGCTAGTTACATTGCACACATTCAGTCTGATGTATTTGCCTTCTTGCCATTCATTTAACCCCTCTGTCCATGCAAGGGGTAATTATCGATGAATGACCTTCTGCATATTTATTCGTGATATTTGCATGTGTTAAATTGCATGAGCGTTTGGGCTCATCATTTATACATGGTTCTGGGAAATTGAGTTGGTGCCTGGTGAGTGTGTGGCTATGCTGCATAATTCATTATACACAGAAGCAGTGGTTACGCTCCGTGGGCATTGGGGAGATGTAGGACTCCACTGTCTGACCGCATACAGCTAAGATTACAGTTAGTACCACACTACTCTCTCGCTTCGTGACCTTTTTAAGGTACTATTGGTTTCACCCTTTGTCTTTCTGTTTAAACTGGAGATTCAAGTTGTTGATGCATGCTCCATTGTCTCTATATTGCCATTCCTGTCATGTCCCTGCCTCCCCTCCAGGGCCAGGCGGACCTGCTGAAGCATGCAAAGAGTGAGGTCCAGGAGAACCTGAAGCAGATCCACTACGCCGCCCTCACCTGTAACCTCAGTAAGGACGGGCCATCAGGGAGCACGGCAGGCTCCGAGTCCAGGATCCGACCAAGCAGCCTGGACGCCATCCCCGAGAAAGCCATGGCGGAGGACGAGCTCTCTGAGGAGGACAACTGAAGGCTTACGCCCTAAACCCTTCATACCCCCAAGCCCCTTGCCTACCCTAGTGGCATTCAGAAACCTCCTTATCCTTACCGCAGTCCCACACAAACCTAACTACAGTATAACTGTTCCAGTGCCGTTGCCACACAAAACTATTCTTATTCCAGTGCCGTATACAACCATTCCATTCCCACCCCAGTCCCACTCAAACCTCCCTTTGCTTAACCCAGTTCCACACAAAAAGCCCTTAACCCCTCCTGCCCACCTCAACGTCCAACAGCAAGATGTTGCGGGTCAACTAGGAGGGCCAAGTGAACTTGCAGCCACGGGACAGTCTTAAAGCAGTGACCTACTGTAGAGACAGTGCACTTATTTACAGGCGGACCCCAGGGTCTGACCCTAGGAGAGCCGCTCTGAAAGGTCCAAGGATTTCTTAAGCACAATTTATGGGTTTCTGACCAACCAGAAACTAGAGCTGTGAATGTAATAGGAAACAGGAAGAGGAAAGGTGGAGAGAAGGAAAGGGAGGAGGAGAGAGCTGTTTACAATTAATGAACTTGTTCTTGTCTGCCAAAATAGTATGTGTATATATGAAGTTGTGTTACTTTTTCTGGAACGTGCATCATTTTATTATTGTGTTCTTGAGAAATAAGATTTATTTTGTAAAGGAAATGGCTCGTCCATTAAAAATAACTATTTTATTTGTCTGTACAGATGTGAAATTGGGGTGTCACTACGATGTGACCTTTACACTTTCCCACTGGAGAGTTCCTTTGTCGAGACATTGGGACGGCTAGAGAATGTAAACCTCAGTGTGTGGTCCAAGGGTGGCAGTCAAGTCTCCAACACAACCAGCAACCGCTTTGGGAAGGAACCACGAAGAGAGTAGCGCGTTAGGCCTAACGTTTGGTATCATTGCGCCATTCCATGTGAGAGAATTGAGTAAGAAATACAAAGTAATAATGGATTCCAAACCTGTGCTGACGACTAACTAGCACCCTATTCATGAATACTGTTCGATATATGACTGTGCCTCATTGCTACAAATCAGTCAACAAAGGGGATGGATGGTCTTCCTCACATCCATCCATCTTAACCTGCCTTTCCCCACCAGTTGCTTCTAGTTTGCATTTGTCCTCTGTTTATTCTCTCCACGGTGCTGAAACAGTGTTGCTCCTGGTCAACTTTAGCCATCCACCACCACCTCTGGATCTCATATTTCACCACCAGTGTTTTAACTGGGCCCACACTGGGACAAAAAGTAATTCATGAACTTCAGTGCTGTGACAGTTGTTGTATTTATAACTGTTGTTAACCATTTTTACCGATGGAGAAGAAAAAACTAGTTTAAAACTCAATACCGGTTTTACTCTTATCTGTTAATTCCCGAAAACCTTCAGAATAAACCACGTCAAATCGTTTATGGTGTCTGGTGTCAGATTCATTGACAGACCGTATGCACATTCATTAACATTCTACAGTGTGTTGTTTTAATGCTGTTACTGTTCAAGGACAGCCATCGCATGGAGCTGCTGGAGGAACTGAAGCATCGCTATTGATTAGTTCAGTGTGCTGATAGGAGTGGAAAGAGCCTAGGGATATCTAGCGAAGTTTGCCATAGACGTGTCTGGCACACGTTCACAAAAACACATACACACACAAAGACATGCACGCACAGCTGATAACCCATGCAAACATATACACACGCAATCTATTTTTGTCACTCAATTTGTTTCTACTTCATTGCCCTGATAGACCACTGCATTGTGGTCACTGTTCTGTAGAGAAAAACAAGCACCCCAACACATCAAAGGACAAAGAACCCCAGGAAATGTTCTTAGAAAAGCAAAAAGATTGTCCCCTGGAAGTTAAACTAGAGTACAGCACCACAATAGCATTTAGAATAGATCAAATCAACGTTTATTGGTCGCGTACACAGAATTGCAGATGTGCAGTAATACCTAGCAATAAAAAGCTAAACGATACAGAACAAATAATAAGAAATATGTTATATAGGATGAGCCATGACCTAGAATATACATATAAAGTGGGTAAAACAGTATGTAAACATTATTAAAGTCACAAGTGTTCATTGACCATGTACATAGGGCAGCAGTCTCTAAGGTGCAGGGTAGAGTACAGAGTGGTAGCCGGCTAGAACCATGACTAAGGTTCAGGGAATGGTAATGGATGGAGGTCAGCTAGTGGTGACTGTTTAACAGTCTGATGGCCTGGAGATAGAAGCTGTTTCTCAGTCTCTCGGTCCCAGCTTTGATGCACTTGTACTGTCTCCGCCTTCTAGTTGGTAGTGGGGTGAACAGGCCGTGGCTCGGATGGCTGAGGTCCTTGATGATCTTCTTGGCCTTCCTGTGACACCGGGTGCTGTAGATGTCCTGGAGGGCAGGCAGTGTGCCCCCGGTGATGTGTTGTGTATGAACCTTTTGAACAGTATGTTTGTCATACTTTATAAATTAAACATATAGTCCTCATAATGAGAGTTGGGATTCATGTCAGTTCAGCTGCAACATCTGAGGTAATGACTCAAATCTGGGTATAATGTGTTGTTTTTATGACTATTACACCTGAATACATGGCAGGCTGTGTATAAACTAGTAAAAACCTTACTGTTAAACATTCGAATGCCTCTTCTGGATGCCTGTGACAAACAGTGTCTGGTTAGTATTAGTCGACCACAGACAGAAGACAGGGCCTCGCAGATCACGTCAACAACCAGTGAAGACACATTCCCCATAAATAAGAAATCTGTACGTTTGGAATAGATTTGCTTTGTAACATTGTGAAAGGTCTAGACTAAGATATTTAGTGGGTGATGCGTTGGCTAATAAATTACCTACCCAATGTTTGCTTTAGGACTGACAGCCTCGTATGTTGTACAGTGCCTTGCAAAAGTATTCATCCCCCTTGACGTTTTTCCTATTTTGTTGCATTACAACCTGTAATTTAAATGGATTTTTATTTGGATTTCATGTAATAGACACACAAAATAGTCCAAATTGGTGAAGTGAAATGAAAAAAATAACTTGTTTTAATTTTTATATAAATAACAGAAAAGTGTTGCGTGCATATGTATTCACCTCCTTTGCTTTGAAGCCCCTAAATAAGATCTGGTGCAACCAATTACCTTCAGAAGTCACATAATTAGTTAAATAAAATCCACCTGTGTGCAGTCTAAGTGTCACATGATCTCAGTATATATACACCTGTTCTGAAAGGCCCCAGAGTCTGCAACACCACTAAGCAAGGGGCACCACCAAGCAAGCGGCACCATGAAGATCAAGGAGCTCGCTCAAGTTTTCTGTTTTTTTTGTCTTATTTCTTGTTTGTTTCACCCCCCAAAATATTTTGCATCTTCAAAGTGGTAGGCATGTTGTGTAAATCAAATGATACAAACCCCCCAAAAATCAATTTTAATTCCAGGTTGTAAGGCAACAAAATAGGAAAAATGCCATGGGGGGTGAATACTTTCGCAAGGCACTGTATGTATGTGTTTGTTTTGTTTATGCAGTTGTGCTTGTGTGCCACTGTAGACCACCGTAGACTTGTGAGTGAGATGACCGGAGATGTACATGTACGTGCAATCCACTGGTCTGGCCTGAGAAGCGAGTCTCCTTGTGGTCTTCGTGATGAAGCAGTGGAGGCCATTTGTCTAGCTGTGGACCAGGCCTCATTCTCGGGAGCCACATCTGGCCGGCATGCCATGGTGTGATTTAACTGCTGGAGAAGCAGTCTGAGCTAAGGCTATGGAGCCAAGGTCAGCCAATGCCTTCTCTCAGCTCTGCTCTGCTCCCTCAGCTCATATCGATCCACATTCATCCCTTTTCACTGCTCACTCAAACTCCTATTCTATCCCTGCCACTGTTTTGAGAAAGAGAAATGACATTTCTTAACCCACAGAGAAAAGAGTCCTTTGATCCATAACTGATTTATGGGTCAGGCTTCTGTGCAACGTTCTCTAGGAATAACCAGAGGCAGCTGAACAAACTGTAGCCTTGTATTAGAAAGATACACTATCTTTTCACGTTGAATAATTCATGCTCTGCCAGTCACTAAACTGCACGTCCCAGAGCGTATTGCTCTCGCTCGGCGGCCCCCTTTGTAGAAAGCCAGTGTTGCTCATACAGAGCACTTAGTGCTATGCGCCTCTCCGCAGACTAAGCACCGCAATCATGACCGAGGCATAAGCCTCAACACTAGAAAGAGTATTCAAAGAAAAGGCCCACAAACAGATAAATAGAGCGCTTACAGAGCTAATGCTAGCACTGAGAGTATTTTTCTGCCTTCACATAAAGAGATGTATCGCTAGCTAGCTGCTTATCAGTTTAGCTTGTGGCTGGCATGTTCAGGGAATTGCTTGTCTGCTGCTAACAACATAGTGAACAATACCCTGTTTTTCCTCTCAACTATAAGCTATACAGGAGAAATTGTGTGCTTATCTCAAGAGAAGCTTAATGGAACACGTATACAAGCCAGGTCTGCAGGGTGCTCTGTTTATGTAATTCTTTAACAAGTTGTCTAGTTAAAATGTAAAGTGGAAATGTTCCACATCAAGAGTTTCAAGTGTTGCATTGTCAAAATGACATTGAACAGCTCTCCTTGTTAGCTTGACCACCCAATGTTCTCACAATGTCTCACAGATGAAGTTGTCTCGTCATATCGACCAATGTGTACTATGCACATTGATGATAAAAAAAGTATCAACATACAATTGAGATACCTGGGAAGTGGCGATGCCATGTCAGACTATCAATAACCCAAGATACGATCTTGACGCTAAAATTCCAGTGTTATAGGAATACTGTGCATCTTTTTGGTAACTAACCTAGCAGGACCTTGACAAAGAACCTAGCGTTGACTGGTCCTCCGTTCCTTTCACTGTTGCGCGAACTCAGTTTTATCATGGCACGACACAATAACTACTTGTTCTTGCCAATGAACATTGTGCCTCTGTTTGGGCTGGTGGCCCGGTGCAGTGCTGTTAGCCCTGGCTTCCTTTC